TTAAATTAAAAAAGGAGAACTTTATCTCCTGTTTCATATTTTAATTGACTTTCATATTTATTTTTTCAGATTAGATCAACAAATTATTTTATATATTTGAACATATAATTTAAATTTTACAGTTTTATAAATATATATTCATTGTTTTTCCTTTTACTGGTACATGCATTAGTCTTAAATGTTTAAACTTATTTTTTTCCAACAAGTCTTTTTATTTCTGCCTCAGTTTAGCTAAAAGTTTAAAGTTTAGTTTAAAACAAAGGTAAGGAGGAAAACATTACCTGTGTATTTATTTTAACTAAATTTTAAGCTAAACTGCAGCAGCACAAGGATGCAACACACAGAAATAAAAAGACTTGTTGGACAAAATTATAAAAATAATTCAATTTAAGCATTCAAGAGACAAATGCATGTACAAGTAAAAGGAAAAACTGTAAAATATATATAAAAAATTAAAGTTAAAATTATGTGTTAAAATACATAATTTATTGGAACTAAGCTGGAAAAATAAATATGAAGGTCAATTAAATGATAAAACATGAGGTAAAATTCTCCTTTTTAATTTATTTGGTGCAATTTAAATGGATTTATTTATTTAAAGGTTCATTTTTTTCTGTTTTTATTTCTAATTATGTCAGTGTCCGTCCTCCATACTGCAGAACATGAAGAGGTAGTTCAGGGACTGAATCAGGTAAAATGTAGGGCTGCGGCCCTGCAGGGCCAGGACCACCCCTAGTCCGGACTCACCAGGATGGAGGTGGGCTTGATGATGTGGATGGCTTTAGCCAGAGAAGCAGACATGGCCGTCAGCTGGTTCCTGATCTGCTCCGACGGCATGTTCTGCAGGAACGGGCCGACCGGAGAATCCTCTTTAGTCGAGTAGTTCAGGTCAGAGCCGAAGCTCAAGGTTCGAGACGAGTGGTCGATCCGAACCTAMGGACAAAACCCAGCCAGACGGTTTACAGACTTTAGTCCCAGAACTTGATCCTCAAAAGGTTTTATCTGGTCCCACCTGCAGGTCACAGTGCCGGGCTGCGTCCACGATGGAGCGCTCCAGCTGGAAGGCGTCCACAAACGGAACCAGGGAGGCCAAACGGCTGAACTCGATGCTCTGATAGATCTGAGCCACCTGAGGGACAGAGACAGACCTGGGTCAGAAGGACTCCTGGGTCAGGCTGGGTGGTATGACCAGGGTTTAAACAGAATCCCCTCACAGTAACAGTATGTATCACAGTATAAAATGATCATAAAAAGCAAAACTTAGGGCTGCGCAGTATATGCAGTAGATGGTAGAAACTGTATAAAGTTGGCCTACGGTAGAAATTTACCCTCTACCTTCATATCGTCATTACATCATCGACCTGTGTCAGCAGGGCTGCAAGTGCAGAGACAACTGAGCAGGAGTTTGAAATATAATGAAGAAATTATAGCGTTTTAAAACACGTAAAGAGAATAAATCCTCTAAATTTCCTCCTTCCGCTAAGGTTGGGCAATATTGGCAAAAAAATTAATCACGATTAATTGTGGTATTTATACGATAACGATTAATTTGACGATTAATCCC